TTTCCCCCGGTTTTTGGAGAAAAAAACTATACGGGCGCCTTTTTGTGGGGCTTTATTTTTAAAAAAAAAAAAAAAAAAAAAAAAAAAATCATTGACCAATCAGAGTAATTGAGGCGAGGCTCTGCGGATGTTACCTCTGGAGCTGTTAAGTTTTGTTTACGTTGCAAGAACTTCAGTCTTTAGGTTTATGTGGAGCAGAGGAACTAAGAACAGAGGAAATTAAGCTTCTGAAACACACCAGCTTATAACAAATCAATTCTTTTGAAATGTTTTAACTTTACTCTTTCACTTTAGTTAATTTCAACATGGTTTAAGTTATATAGAAGGATTATTATCATGACCAAACGTGTTTGCGTTGTAAATTTGAGAATTGAAAATGTTGAAACCAGCTGAAAATGTTTATGCATAAACTGTTTTTTTCATATAACATTTGGTTAAATCAGTTACTCTTCAAAAATATTCATACCACTTGATTTTTTTAGTTCTAATTGCCACAAAATATGATTTTGAAAAATATCCATCCAAAGAGACTGCCTACACACCACACTTTTCAGATTTCTATCAAAGAAAAAAAAATTGTTCATTTCACAAATATGCACTCCTTTGTGTTGGTCCATCATACAAAATCCAATGAACACAATAATGTCTGTGGTTGTTAAGTGACAAACTGTTAAGGTGTGTAAATACAGTTTGAAAGTACTGCGTTATGAGACATTAAATGTAGCACGGAGTCAGTTTATGAAATAAGTGGAATAATCACAACAGTACTGAAGCTGGGATATCAAAACGAGTTTTCACTGATTGAGATTAAACAATTGAAATGTTCTGTTGTAGCCGCTATGCTGTTCTTTATGTCTTCCGTGACGTCGTAAAGATGGTGAAAGCCGATTAGAAGGTGGACTGTAAATGTGAGGGGCTTTCATATTTCAATTGATATTATTTTTTTCTTTTTCTTTTCTAGGATACACAAATATGCTTTCATCTGTTTAATGTATCAGTCTAAAACCCACAGACATTAATGCCGCAGCACTGATGGCATAACTCTATTTCAAACAAGGGCAAACACAATAAAAAGCTCTCTTTTTTTTCTGTATGACATGGATACCACAGCACTAATGACATAATCATATTCTCCTTCATTCATTCTGCAAGCAAAAATATTGAATTATCCTGAATCCAAGAACAAGTAAGATAAGATATGGCTTCTGTTGTTGTCCTGAAAGCACATATATTCAGCCACAGCGGGCTTGGCTCTGAGACCTGGTCCAGAAACAAACCCAATAAAAGCTTAATGTTATTCTCTTTGGTGGATTCCACAAGCAAAGTATTGAATTCAATCAGATAGCCATTGCCTGAATCGAATATTGTGTCATTATAAAAAAAAACTATTGTGTCAGTCATTATTTGGCTGGTAGCCTGCAGATTGTTTTCTATTTCATGAAGTTTAGATGTTTCGTCTTTAAGCTGTGGTGGTGTTTTTTTTTTCCACCCTTGTGTTTGTGCTAGGTGCCATTCTTTGGGCCGCTGTTTGATGGTGCTATAGTGGACATGAAAATTTTGTCCACCATGGTCAGAGCCACAGCTATCAACGCAAGTCGAGCTCTCAAATCGCTCATTCCTCTCTACCAGAACTTGTATCCTTTGAAGCACTTGGCTGTCAGAATGTGGAAAGCTAAAAGGTAGGTCGCCGAGGCGGAGATTTCCTTCCCGGTCTTCCCCATCTTCAGTCGGTCTTCCCTTTTATGCAACTTTTGGTAGTTTTCAGTGAGTTTTTTAGCTGTTTAGATGTGATTCACAGAGGTTTTAAGCTTTTCCTTGTTAAAAATGGCTTCTGTTTTGATCTCAGTTGCAGATACATTGCATAAAAATTATTTTTCCAATATCTGCTTGATAAGTTGTCACAAAAGTTTTCCCAACTTTAGTGAAACTTTTTGGTTAATAAAAGAATCATGCTGCTTGAATTGCTCTTCCTTACACTCGTGATGTAACTTATGCGCCCTTCTTATATACACTCTTTAACATCTGTGTTGCTTTGGCAAAATCTGCTTTCAGGCAGATGCCAAGTGCTCAAAATTGCATTTACCATGACGAAACGAAAATGTTTTCTTGGAGAATATCTGTTAAATTTGAGACAAAATGATGCAAGTTACCCAATAAAAAGCTACATGGTTTTAAAACGGCAGGATAAAATATTAGTTCTGGGATCACCAGAAGGCTTGCAAGATTCTAAAATATATTTTTTCTCTGAACAACTTCAGCTACTATAAAAAAAAAGGGTTTGTAGTTGAGTTCTGATAATAATAGTATTCTGAGCAGTGCGGCTGAAATTCTCTTCAGTGTTCGTGTGAGCGAGAATGTCGTTTGATGCTCAGCTCGAGGAGTAACAGTTGCGAATCAATGTCCAGTGATGTTTGGTCCTGTGATGGAGCCGTGTTCCGTCTGAAGTGCATTTTAGCGGTGCGCAGGAAGGTACAGGGGATGTCTTGTCCATGTGTTGCTGCGCGTCTCCAGGTGTGAAGGGGGAAGAGAGAAACGGACGAGAGCGTGTACAGTTTGCCTGATCCGATGTGATGGTAGCTTGGTTTGAAGAAGCCAGAAGTCGATACTTATTGATGAATCTCCTCGGTAGCTCAGTTTCTAAATGAGAGGCTTTGCTCTGCGGTCTCATAGACAGACATGCACACACACAAACCTCCACACAAGTGTCCACCTGTGCACGTACTGATAATTACACTCACAATGTCCGAACACTCCCGAGGTGAAATAATGTATCCAATAAGTGCGTCCACAAGCAGCTTTTTCAATGAATGCACAATCAAAGACACACTCTTATTTGTAAGGTAAGAATTTCCTTTAAACTGCAGTTCGAGCAATTTGATCTCATAATGATGCTGTCCGTGTGTCTTTCCGTCCCTTTTTCTGCAAATTTCTTCAGCCTTCGATTGCTTGGCAGTAACTTTTCAAACTGTGTTCAACTTTTCAGGTTCTGCTTAAAATCCACAGGCTGCCTAGATTAAACCAGCAAATGTCCCCTGCAAACTTTCTCTGAGGTTTTTATCCATATTTTATTTTTTTGCCTTTGTAGGGACAGATGCATTCAGTAAAATTCTGTAATTTGAATCTTTAGTTCATTAATTAACAATCAATTTAAAATGTAACTCAAATCCTAGCCATTATTATCGCTTTTGCTTGTGAACGTCTTTCTACCGCACTTCCTCCTTCCATCTAACTTTCTATTAATATCCTAGGATGCAGCCCTTAGTGACCAACCAGCATATTTAGCAATGGCCTCTTCTTGTGGAGGGAGTCGATATTTGCTGGACAACGGTTAAGTGAGCCGTGTCTTTCATTATTATGTACAAACTATTATTTCTCTGAAATTGTTTTGACCTTGTGTAATATAAGTTTATGCAAATCCAATTGATGAGCTAACCTCAGTATTATAAAGAGAACATTTAAAGCTACATTTAATATAATTGTTTGTCAAACACTTCTGCCTGTGATGAGCAGAACTGAAACATTCAAAAAAGATATTGCTCACAATTCCACACAGAATGAAGTGTTTGCACCCAGGCATGTATGTTACTTTGAATTGAAAACAATCTAATGGGCAGAACCTCTCCAGGGTGTCCGTAAGAAGATGTAAAAAGGAGATTCCTTTTCAACTGTTTTCTTTATCTTTCAATCTTTTCTATTTTCTCCTTTACCTTTCCTCCTCATATTAGTGTTCACTTCGTCCTTGTCTTCTATCTTTCTTGCTTTGCTTGTCCTTGACTCTTACCCGTTTCTCCTATTCTGCTTTTGTTGTAAATAAAGAATAGAAGAAGAAAGACTTCCTACCTATAAAACAGAGATTTCCAGCTCATTCCCACCTTCTTTTGCATATTTATGTCATGTTTTTTTTGCTTGCTTGTTGTGCGTCTCACTTCCAATGTGCAGACACCTGTGCACCTTGATGTTTTTGTCTTTCATCGGTGTTACAGCCTCTGCGTGTATGGGTGACAGTCTGCATGTGATGACACACATGTCTTGTATGTGCCGTCCTGAGTGTTTGTGTGAGTTGGAGAGCGTCCCGGTGTGCATTGATCGGTGGTAAGCAGCAGGTCGATGTCTCTGACAGGCTGAATTACAGTAATCAGTCATTATTGACTCCCCATGTCTCTGCTACGCTCACTGCTCTCCTCTGTCACCACTTCTCTGCTTCTGCTTCTTTTTGTTTCTTCTTATCCTTTGGCTCCTCCAACTCTGTCGGCTTTTATATCCCTTCTTCTCCATCCCAACATTCCTGTTTCTCCCTCTTTAATTCTTTCCTTCCTCTACCGACTTCTATTTCTTTATCTTAGTGAATGTCGTTCTTTGTTTATGACAATTTTCAGGTTTTAGTTTTTCATCCATCTCATTTCATCCCTCTCTGTTATTATTGTGTCTGCACAAACTTACTCTAAAATTGTGGGAAGCTCGTCATCTTGATGTAAATCTGCAGAAAGTGAATCTACTGCTTCAGATCTTGTTGGACTAAAAGGTCTGAGCCAAAAATATCAAAAATATAACTGTTTTTGATTTTATCCCACCATAGCGTCCTTGTAATCATTGCTAGGTATACATAGATTTTGACCTAAATAGATGGTGTGCACACACCTCCAAATTGACCGTTCAGTTTCAGGAGCTCCTCTTTTCTAAGGCACTCCTGAGCCAATAATACTTATTATTATATTCATGGTTTGCAGTTCAATATTATATACTTTTGCAGTGTCAAGAATGGTGTCAAGACTCAAATACTCAAATATTTTATTTCAGGAACTTCCTCTCTGCTTCCTGTTGTTTATATTTTCTGCACCTTGTAGTTGCAAAAACACGTTACTTTGGTCTAATTGTGGGAAAATCAATTGCTTTTATTGGGATAGTCAGTGTAAAATTAAGACTTTTATTGTGACATTGCTGTGTTGTTTTCCTCTTCTATGTTTAAGAATTAAGTTTATGCAGAAATTAGTGTTTATTATTTTCGTAATTAAACTGTGTATTCTCTTGTCTAGTGACTATTGCATCAGATTTTGAGATGTAAAGTAAATGTGGAGTAATTTGGGGACTTTGGCATTGTGACACTTAATGGCTGTAACCTGGAACACTGGCGCTTTATGTATTTAGAGATAAATGTGTGTAACATAATTGATCAAAACTTTTCTTGAAAACTTTTTACAATAAACACAAAAAAGCCCAGAAAGCTCTTACAGAGCAATCTGGGTCTTCCAAAATTATAATGGGCAGGTCAGAGGTTTACACAATAATTAATGAATTTCCATCAATGCGACATCAGTGAATTATGATGCACCAGATGGAGTCAGATTTCAGAGACTGGGTTCATCTGTTGATAATTTGCATGTTTACAGATTAACTTGTCCTCTTTGTCATGTATTCCTATAAACACCATTTATAAGACTTTTATCTTTAGCTTTTTATATCTGTGTAATTTACCAACCATACCTGGAAGTTGTGACATTGTTTACATAAGGTAAAAAAAACAAATGCATGAAGTGTTGCATTAATATGCGTGCCTTTCATTGCTCTGTTGTGCGACAAAGCGGGACTCGCACAGAGGAGGAGTATGGAGACGAAGGGCAGGTTGGCGGTGCAAAGTATGTCAGTGATAACTGGCATTTTCTTTTTCCCCTTTCCCTCTTCCTGTCTGCCCTCTTCCCTCCCTCTCAGTCTCTTGGCCCTCGGGGCAGTCCATCTGCCTTTTCTCTGCCTCTGATCTTTCATTCACCATGACTAGAGCCATCCAAAAGCACTTGGAGTGCCAGACCGCAGGGGCAGCTGTGTGCGAGCATGGCTCTATCTCACAATATCAGCTCATTGCAGGAAGAAGGCCCGGTCCAAAACTCCCCACATGAAAATGCATCCTTCACCAGTTTTCAGGAACTTTCTCTGGCCTCTGATAACTTGTGCAAACACAGCAGCAGACCTGTGCTCGGCGTAGGGGAGCATACCGCCATCAATGCATTCCTTTGATTAGACCAGACGGTGGTAAGGAGCTGCCCGCTGAGTGATAGATTGGTGTCATATCTTGAAGCAAGTACTGGATGTAATTTAAATCTGATCAATTTCGCTTTATTCCACACAGTGTAGCTTCAGGTGCTGCTGGGTAAGAATATTTATAGTCGTGCTATAGGATAATAAGACTGTAAACTGCTCGTGTTTAAAATTTATCAATAAATTTAAATATTTCTATTTTTAGATTATTATGTAGTGACAAATACAACCTTTGAATTAGTGCAAACAAGCAGCCACTACAAACAAGATAAATATCATTATTTTACATAATAGATATGGGTCAAATTTTAATAAAATGAGTTCTAATAAAAGCAATAACACTACTTACATTAATAATAAATATTTAAAAATCACATTGAAATGATTGTTCAATTTAAGAGCGTTCCTAAAATTGCATGTGCAGCAGTAGTTTTCAAACATTCAGATGCTTAGCGCCTTTCACTGAATAGCCTCCTTTACATCTATTGCAGCTTCAGCAGATCAATAAGAAATTAGTTTTTAATGATATACAATATCTAATATCTTTAATATGAATACTTCAAATCTGAACGACTGAGCGAGAATATTTCTTGTAGAAACTCAC